CATAATAACCTGTCCCTCTAGAAGGAAGAACTATGAATCCCCCGTTAATAATGTTTTTCTGAGGAAAATGTTCAGTAGTTGATGGTAACAACGCGCTCTTGAAAGGATCACAGTGAGGAGTACCAGCAGTTTCCGGGCTACAGTAATTTGCCATTTCACTCTTTACCATTTCTGTTTCATTGTGTGCTTTCTTGTTACCTTGTGCGCGTCCCGAAAGATGGACCGTACGCAATGGGAAGCTGATTCCTTCTTTCCTCCCCTTTATCTCCTCCCTTTGTACTGCAAGAGAGGGCGGAGAAGAACGGCGCCCCCTCTTGAGGACAAAGGGAGGAGAAGAAGAAGTAAAACCAACTTTTAAGACAACCTGGACCCTTTTACTACTCTCATTTTTCTCTAGATTGCAGTGGCACCCTCTAATGGAACGCGACTTTCCTCACAGAAAATTGAGTTGTTATTCTTAACCAGAGAAGTCTTTCAGGATATGGAGCGTTTGCACAGGAGTTTGTTGCATTTTATACGATGCGAGGAGCATAAAACTGAAAAGCATTTTTTCTGACTGGCCCTGGATTGTCAGAAAAAGGCAGGAGTTTCCCTTGAGGAGTAAGCTTTCCAATTTTCAATGAACTCTACGACACTTTTCGCGTTGGTTAGTTGTATTTTTTACATTCTGTTCTCTGAATTAAGTAATAAACACTTGTGAGACCGAGAGAATCAGCGAAATGGCAAAAACTTGCTTTCAGTGGGGATCGAACCACATGCTTGTTTCCACATAGTTTTCAGCATTCCCAGAGCCGCTCAGAAAAAATTATCCTAGATTTATGCTCTCTGCGCGTGAAAGAAGCCGTTTCGATAGAGCGCTCCACCTCCTGAGAGACCTTCCTGGTAAGTACGTGCTGGTCAGGGGCAATTTCCCGGCCATACATCCTATAACTCATTACTTTTCCACGAGCAGTTCTGTGCTCACTCGTCTTACCATAATCTTAGAATCGCGTGGAAGCTTGTGTGAGGAACTTTCGACAAGTGAAAGATATGTGAAGGAGTTATGCAGAGCCATACTAGAGCGCTGCCACTGAAAAAAGGTAGAGTCATTAGCTACATTAACGGTCTGGGGGTCTAATCCTGATTCGGGTCCCTTTCCGGCTAACCAAGCCTTCCTAACCGGGGTATTAAAATGACACCACGCTAAAGTGTTGGAATGACAACACTCCATAGTACATCGAACGGCTAAAGCCGCCTAGGACTGCGACGGAATCTGAAACGCGAGGCGCATTCCAGAGCTAATGATTAAAGCGACCACTTCATTACTTTCCAGCTTTCGACCAATGTAAATTGTTTTGTCAGTGCCACTCCATAGTGTTAACTATCTTCCTAAAAACGCTAGTTTCTCAAATTTTCTTATTAGCGGATTCACCGAAGTGAATATGTAGCTCATTCACTGTTCCATGCAGTATTTGTTCCAATTCTCTTCTGCCGTTTTAGGAGTTTTGTTCTGCCCCAAGGTTTTCAAGAGGAAAACATTATAAATAGCCCGATTTTGTCCGCACCGGCTTCTTCAAGACCCAGTCTACCAGCTCTTCAGCTCTTTCGGTAGACTAAGCGAGCCTCTTCCAGTAAGAGGAGGGTTATGTGAAGATCTAGTTCTTGCCGATGCGTGAGAAATTTTCTTTGGTGGAGAAATTCCTGGGGTGCTTGGAACATTTCGTTTCCCTTCGGAGACTTATTCCTACGAAATCGGCTCAGTGAAGGTGACAAATTCTTGAATACATGCCTTCCCCTCCTCCCGTATTGGAATAGATCAGAGTGAGCTTTTAAGGAGGACTATCTAACGGGCACGTCAGATCGTCTGTGAAGTTCCACCGAAAACGTTGCTGACAGAAGAAAAGCATTGAATTTCAGTAAACAGTAAAGTTTTATGAGGGGAGAAGCAGAAGACATTCACTTATCTGTTCAAGCGTTTCAATCCTTGCTAGCCGTTGTGAACGCAAATTGTTCAGCAGTTAGGCCATTTGAATTTCAAATTTCATATCATTGGCTTCCCAATATGGATCGTGCCGATATTATCGTCACTTCGCGTTCGAATGCGTTTGCGGAGACGTTGGTGATAAAATGATGTCGTGCTGCAGAGAATGATAGCACTCAAATTGCAGAATGGCTGACGTCAAGAAGCTTTGCATGGAATCGCTGGGAACTGTTCCACTTGGCAGAGCGCCGGAACAGGTACAGAATGGAAAGGACTTCTATAAGTAGTAAGTAAACACATGTCACTACATATAGCTATTGATACGAAGATCTGAAAATCCATCGAAGAACCCTGCACGAGAATTTGTTTTGTTCCTTTCCCGCACTGATACTGGGTTTATCACATATGTAGTTGAGTACAGAGTTCCATGCATGAAAATTCAGTTCCAAGAAAAAAAAGAAGTGGTTGAGAACCACCCTCTGTGGAACTAAGCGGACACCTGGGCGGGGATGGGTGCGTTGCAATTCTCCTCCTCAGGTCAGGTCACCTAAAATTGACACCACTCATTCGCTCAAAGCAAGCTTAGGACTAAGCCTAGGCCAATCATAGGCTTAAGCATAAGCCAATGTGTAAGCATAAGCCACAGACCTAACACTAACCCGAGTCGACCTTAGGCTTTAATGAGCTCTGCTGACCTGACCCCAGGAGTTGATCTAAACGTCTCTCGGCGGAGTTGGCGGGGCGCACAGAACGAAGGAGGTGATGAGGTTGTCACGTACT